ATAGAGCCAGTTTGGTGTAGTGGTTAAGGCACTAGGTTAGAAACCAGGAGGCCATGAGTTTTAGTCCCACCTTAGGCATGAAAGCCGGCTGGGTGACTTTGGGCCAGTCCCTCTCTCTCAGCCCAACCCACCTCACAGGGTGGGTGTTGTGGGGAAAATAGGAGGAGGAAGGAGTATTAGGTATGTTTGCCGCCTTGACTTATTTATAAAAATAATAAAGGTGGGATAAAAAATCTAAAAAAAAAAGCTGCATAGATTCAACCGGTCTATTAAGCACTGAATGCCTGCCATCAAAATCCATTAAACTAACAAAATTAAAAGCTATCTATAAATATCAAACACTCATATATACACTGATCCAAACTACTGAAAATTAAATCCATAGTGTTTCAGTCTTAGATCAGTCTTAGTGTTTTGGGAGTATGTTCCAGTAAATAATGGATGCTAGATCTGCAAATCAACCCTAAACACACGTTCACCTGGCCAAAGGACATCTACAAAATTTAAATCACGATAGACTTTAAAAAGTAGCCTCTCGTTTTGTTCAGAAGGAAAAGCAACCCATTTTCAAACTGCAAGGAAGCATTTCAATGCTTTATCTCATTTTGGATTGTGCAAGCAGTAGATATGATGTATGCAATATCTCCATGAATTAAGAATGCAGTCCTAATGAAAACTTGTGCCAACTGGAGAGGGTTAGTATGAGGTGAGTCATTTCTGCCAGCTGAAATCTCCTTCTGTGAAGAGGAGACCTGCCAAGAACACAGAGAGATCTGCCAGAGAAGAGCTCCAACTGGGACAGGGGAAGCCAAGGGGCATATTAGATCAGACTCAAACCCCAGCCCAACAAGGGAGGCACCCATACAGTGCAAGGGAAGGTCAAGGACCATCCTAACTCAGGGATAGGCCAGATAATGGCCACAGCAGAAGTCTTTCCACAGATATCTTTCATGGATCTGCAAGCAAGTGCAAGACTGTAGCCTCACCTTTATTTCCAGAGATGCCTTTGGGCCCCACTTGGGCCCCAGAGACATTTCAGAAAATTAAAAGGAGTTGGTGGCTGCCTTGAAACACTTGTTTGAAGGTGGACCCATTTCTGACCAAGCGAAGAGGCTGTTCCCAACTGGAGAAACCATAGTTAATATGTAGAATGCCATTCCTACCTGCTGGCAAGCCTGAAATGAGGCTGTTCCATACTTTACAGGTGTACACCTTAACCTTATATTTAATTGATTAATAAATTGCTAGGGTAGCAGCTAACCTGAAGTGTGACTTACTCCATTCTTTTGTAGGAGGGTGTCTTTAATCCATTAATTAATCAATGAAATCTTCATTTAAGCAGAAAAATATGCACTCGTTATTCACCAAGTCTGTAAGTAGCAATAGTATTAAGAATGACTTTGTGTGTGTGTGTGCCTTCAAGTCAGCATTGTGTGTGTGTGTGCCTTCAAGTCAAAGTCTAGTCCTGGTGACCACCTGGACTAGACCTCCTTTTCTGCCGCAGAACAGCCTGCCCCAAA